AAGTGTGGCATCAGGATTGGAGGAAAACTCATCAACAACCTGAGTTATGCAGATGACACCACCTTGCTCACTGAAAGCGAGGACTTGAGGTGCTTGTTGAAGACGACCAAGGACTGTATGTAGCCCTCAACATAGATTACATCGCAACATCAAGAAAACAAAAATCCTCACCCCTGGGTCAATAGGCAGCATCATGATAGATGGAGAAAAGATTGAAATTATCAACAATTTCATCTTATTTGGATCTACAATCTACTCCCTAAGTACCAGTAGTCATGAGCTTTGGAGATGTATGTTGTTGATTGCCATTGAGTCGAGCACCACTCTTGGCGACCCTATGAACAAAAGACCTGAGCCCTTTCTATTCTATAACTATCAACATTTATCAAAGTTCATAGAGTTTCCAGAGGCATGTTGTTTAGGAAGTGGATGCCACTCCTGCTTCCAGATGTATATTATTGGAAAAGTCTTCTGTCATGGACCTCTTTAGAGTCATGAAGAGCAATGATGCCAGTTTAAAGCCTAAGGTGCACCTGCTTTAAGCCACAGTCTCTCCAGTCACCTGCTGTGGATCTGAGAGCTGGGCAATGAATCAGGATGACAGCAGAGTTGACGACTTTGAGTTGTGATATTGGAGAAGAGCACTGAATCCCATAGACTGCTAAAAGAACAGACAGGTCTTGAAGTGAGACCAGAGTTCTCCTTGGAGGCAAAGTTGGGGAAGCTTCGTCTCACGTGCTTTGGGCATAGGGTTAGGAGAGGCTGTTCTTTGGAGAGAGACATGATGCTCGGAAAGGTGGAGGGTCAGTGAGAGAAGAGGAAGCCTTTCAATGAGATGGCTTGGTAGGAGCGTCTGCGGCAATGGGCTCAAGTGTCGGGGTAAGAACAGAGGTCAGAGCTGTTCACAGGGTCATTATGAATCATACTTAAAGGCACTGAACAACTCAAGTTGTCCGAGTTCATAGACATAGTGAGTTGAGGCACCTTAATGCTGTTAAGGTCACATGCTTTGGGGAAAGTGAGATGACTGAAGTGAAAATGGCCAGACGTCACCTGAGGCATCGATTGGGGCTTCCAAGGCACTGCTGCCTGCAATACCTCCCCATCCTGGGGTGGAGGGGTGCCTCAAGCTTGGCTGGAGGGTTGTGTGAGGCCGAGAATTCCCGGAGCCTCACCCAGGGGCAGAGGGTCTACTACAACTGTGTCTGAGAGGTCTTGACAAGTAGCAAGGGTCTCCTTATACTCTCCCAGGTTGAGGGAAAGGAGGGTTGGTGGTGGTGGTGGTGGTGGTGGTGGTGGTGGTGGTGGTGGTGCAGGTGCGCCCCCTGGTGGGTAACCACGCCAGCTGCTGTCTGGGCCCAATCTGCCGGCTTTGCCAGTTTTGGTCCCAAAGCATCCCTCTGCACGCAGGGAAGAACCTAGGCAGCCCATCCTGCCCACATCCCTCCGCTTTGTCTGGCATGGATCCTGGGCACCAGATGGGCACCCATGACTGGTTTTCCCATGGGCCACACCGTCTGGGTCCCTTTCCACCACACGCAGCTGGTGTCACCTTCTCTGGTGAGCCTTTGTGGTCCCAAGCCAGGCACAGGCCCCAGCAGCAGCATTTGCTGGGTAAGGAGGCAGGTGGCCTGGGCTCTGTGCAGGAATGAGGCGGGGACAAAGAGATGTGGCTTTAATAATGGATGTGGGAACTCACAAGGCACAAACCCCCTCATGGGGGTCGAATAAATAACTCCATTGTCACGGAAGGTGGGGTCTGGAGAGAGGTGGCATCTAAACAGGGGACCTGGTCAGTCACTGTCCGAGTCAGAGTAGTCTGCCACCAGGGATGTGCTGAGGCAGATGGGATGTGGGGCCTCTGAGGGGCTGGTGTCAGCTTCCTCCTGGCATGAGCCTCGTGGGGACAGGGGCTTGCCCTGGCAGCTGCCCTCCACAGTCTTGGCTGGCTCCACAGAGCAGTCTTGGGGTGATGATGGCCTGTTCTGGGTGGTCCCCTTTGGCACTGGTGGCTCCTTGGACTTGGGGATCTCAGGTGCATCTTGGGGGCTCTCGGAGACTTCCCAGGATGGACGCCGCACGATGCCCAGGTCCTCCATGGTGATGGGGGAGCCAGTGGGGGCCGGCCGGCGGTGCAGGGCCAGCTTCTTTAGGACGAGGCCAGCTTTGCTGCTGCTGCTGCTGGTACCAGCTCCAGGGGCAGAGGCGAACCAAGAGCGGCTGATGATCTCTGTGCGCTTGAGTTTCTGCTTGTCCTCATAGGCTGCAAGGGAGGGGAGAGGGCGTTTTGAGTGGGGGCAGGAGGCCAGAGCCACCCTCTGCCCTCTGCAGCCCCCACGCACAGTCCAGGGTGTGGAACTTGAGCAGGGCGGCCAGCCTGCGGTCGTCCTCCGTTTCAGGTACGAGCGGGATGGCCAGGCTCGCCTTGGCCTGGAGCGCCTGGTCTTTCTCCTCCTCCTCCTTGATGGCTTTCTTCTTTTCCTGGAGGGTGGGGGAGGCGGCACAGAAGGGGCTCCAGAGCTGCTCCAGCCCTGGAGACGGGGCTTCCTCCTGACAGTCTGTGTGGGGACACTGAAGTCGCTCCCCAAGTGGCACACACAGTCACTGCCATTCATTACTCCATTCACGGAATGACCATCTCCAGAAGGCTGGGTGGTGGGCCCTGTTCAGTGCGTCGGGGCCCAACAGGGAACAGGCAAAACCCTTGTCCTCAGGGGTTGATGTTTGAGAGCGAGGCAGAGTGAGTGGGCAGGTGGGTATCTGCAGGAAAGGTCTGCTGGGTGGAGAACAGCAAGTGCAAAAGCCCTGAGGCAGAGCGAGCTGGTAGCAGTGAAGCAGCAGCCCAGTGGCCCGTGTGACGGGGATGGGGTGGGGTGGAGGGGAGGGGGAGCGTGGAGAAGAGGCAGGACTGGAAGGGCTTCGGGGAGGGGCTCTGGCTTGAGCTCCCAGAAGCAGTGTCTCTAGATGGATGTGAATTGGGTGACACTGTCTGTGGGAAGTTTTGTGCCGTATTCCTAGAATTAGTTTTTTTAAAATTTGTCCTCCTATTGTTTCCCCTAGAATTAGTTTAACAAGGAGAACATGTGAGCCCAGCTTACGTGCATCAATATAGCTACAAGACAAAAAGTCCCCTCATTTACGTTTGAACCTTGTAAGTGCTCCGGTCAGAGCAGCTGGTTTGACCCGAATACCAGGAAGCCCCAGGCACAGGGGTTTCTCTACAGGCACTTTTAGCAATGCGTCCGGGTTGATACCAGTGTTTGTACAGCTGTCAATTTGGTCAGATTCTGTTTTAGCTACAGTCCTGTGGTGGGCAGTTTCTATGAAGGTGTAGCAATAACTCTGAGAATGAAGTAGTAATTAAAGGAAAAAAGGAGAGAAATAAAAATCTAAACACATTATGTTTTACGCAGGACATGGTAATTTAAATGTTTAGATTTTGCTAGTTGTTTATGTATGACTATTGCCATTACACTCAGGATACATGGATTATGATTTACATATTACATTAATATATAAAAACTCTTTCTTGGGATGTGTATGCTCTAGTGTGGGAGGAGGTCATGGGGAAGGGGGATGTGGGCAACCCACACTAAGAACACCACTGGCTGTGAGAGGTAGGAGCCATGGTGGGCTTTGAGCGGAAGGAGTGCCCGCGTTGAGAATTCTCAGGCTGCAGGAGGTGGACCTGAGAGAGAGAGAGAGAGAGAGACAGAGAGACAGAGAGAGAGTAAGAGAGAGAGAGAGAGAGTGTAAGAGAGAGAGAAAGAGAGTAAGAGAGAGAGTGAGAGAGAGAGTAAGAGAGAGAGTAAGAGAGAGAGAATAAGAGAGAGAGAGAAAGAAAGAGACAGAGAGAGAGAGAGTAAGAGAGAGAGTGAGAGAGAGAGAGTAAGAGAGTGAGAGCGAGAGTAAGAGAGAGAGAGTGAGTGAGAGAGTAAGAGAGAGAAAGCAAGAAAGAGAGAGAGAAAGAGAGTAAGAGAGAGAGAGAGAAAGAGAGTGTGAGAGAGTAAGAGAGAGAGTGAGAGAGAGAGAGTAAGAGAGAGAGAGTGTGAGAGAGAGAGTAAGAGAGAGAGCGAGAGTAAGAGAGAGAGAGCGTAAGAGAGAGAGTGAATGAGAGAGTAAGAGAGAGAAAGAGCGAGAGAGAGAGAAAGAGAGAGAGAGAGTGTGAGAGAGAGAGTAAGAGAAAGAGTGAGAGAGAAAGAGAGTAAGAGAGAGAGTGAGAGAGAGTAGAGAGAGAGAGAGTAAGAGAGAGAAAGAGAGTGAGAGAGAGTAAGAGAGAGTGAGAGAAAGAGAGAGAGTAAGAGAAAGAGTAAGAGAGAGTGAGAGAGAAAGAGAGAGAGTGAGTAAGAAAGAGAGTAAGAGAGAGAGTGAGAGAGTAAGAGAGAGAGTAAGAGAGAGAGTGAGAGAGAGAGACAGAGAGAGTAAGAGAGAAAGTGATAGAGTAAGAGAGAGAGAGAGAGTAAGAGAGAGAGAAATAGAGAGAGAGAAAGAGAGTGAAAGAGTGAGAGAGAGAAAGAGCGAGTGTGAGAGAGAGTAAGAGAGAGAGAGTGAGAGAGAGAATGAGAGAGAGTGTGAGAGAGAGAGAGAGAAAGAGAGTAAGAGAGAGAGTGAGAGTGAGAGAGAGAGTAAAAGAGTGAGAGAGAAAGAGAGAGAGAGTAAGAGAGTGAGAGAGAGAGTAAGAGAGAAAGAGAGAGAGAGCAAGTGAGAGAGAGAGTAAGAGAGAGGGAGTAAGAGAGAGAGTGAGAGAGAGAGTGAGAGAGAGTAAGAGAGAGAGAAGAGTAAGAGAGAGAGAGAGAGTGAGAGAGAGAGTGTGAGAGAGAGTGTGAGAGAGAGAAACAAGAGAGAGAGTGAGTGTGTCTATGTAAGGTGGGGAGCTGGGAGACCAGGAGGACCACGGCTGGGTTATTGTCAGGAATTGTTGTCTTGACTAGGACTCTGAGAGATCCGAACCCTGGCCTACCCTGTGCAATCCTCACATTCTCTGACATACTTGAGTCCACTGTTAGTTACAGTCACTGTGTCAGTATGTCTCGTTGAAGGTCTTTTTCTCTCCTCTAACCCGTGAGTTAGAAGTGGGTGGCTTTTAGCTATCACTAGAGTTGGAGTCTGACATGTCTTCTGCAAAGGAATACACTCGGGGTTGGGTTTGGAAGGGGCGACTACAAATTAGAACCGCTGGCTTTGGGCGTGGCCTGCTGAAGAGGCAGCGGTGGAGAAGGGGTCGGGCAGGCTCGCGGAGGAAGCCCGGGCCACTGTCAGGCTGTCCGCATGTCTGGAGAGGGCAGAGCCCAGGGTGAGATGACAAGAAAGCTGGCAAGTTTGCTCCTGTGGTAGTGACCCACCTCCTCTCGTGCGGTTAACAGCCTTTGAAAACCTGCTGGAGGGTCAGCTATGGGTCGGTTCTGACTCAGTGATACTCAGCGACCCAGAAGACCATGAACAGAGCTGAGGGACAACAGGTGGACCGTGAGCCCAAGGCTTCCAGTGAGGTAGAACAGGCCCCTGGAGCACAGAGGTCACTCTCCCTGCCCTCAGAGGACACGTCCAGAGACAAAACACCACCAAGCAGGGCGCTCTTATATCCTGCAAGACTTTCTGCCGCCCCGACTGGCACCCAGGAGGTTGGATGGACCCTAAGCTGCTCGGACTGTACTACGAAGCATTTCTGGCCCAACCTTAGTGGCCCTCAGGGTCCCTGCTGGCAACAGTGCTGGCTGCCTGAGCACATACATATCAGGTCCCTGTGAACCTAATGGACTTTTTGTCACCATCAGGATGCTAATAGAAGACTTCTGAAATTATCAGGAAGGGGAGCTCTTTGAAATTCATTTCAGGATGGGACAGTGGGCCTGTGAAGTGGGTGTCAAGTGAAAGGGGTGGGAGCCTCCCCGGCCTCCCACAGTGGGGTCAGAGGGGACCTCATGTGGCTTTCTCCCCCTCTGGACTCCTCCGGTGCTGTCACTGGGGTGGGGACGCCCTGGGGCACGTGAGGGAGGGGGGTTTGACCCTGTGCCTTGTGGGGAACCGAAGGTCAGGAGGTGAATGACCGGGGGCAGAGTCCTGCTCACCCGGAACTGCTTCCGCAGCATGCTGTTGAGGGCGAAGTCGTCCTTCCAGGCGCTCTGGGCCTCCTGCATGTGGCTCAGGGTGGGCAGGGCCTTCCTGAGCGTGCTGCGGTCGGCCTCGCCGTGCTCCAGGCGGAACATGGCGTCCGTCTCCAGCTTCTGCTTTTTCTCATGCTCTGTAGGGGTGGGAGTGCAACAGGGCCTCTGGGGGCCTGGCTGGGCTGGCCTCAGGGGCACCGGGCAGGCGGGCGGCGCTCACCTGTCGTCAACACCTGCTCGTTGTCCTCCATGTCCCAGCGCTCCTCCTTCCGCTGGGCACCACTCACTATGACATAGTCGCAGTTAGCTGGGTCCGTCTGCATCTCGATGTGGTTCACGCAGAGGTGGCATTTCATCCGGAACCTGGGTGGGGCCGAGGCTGGAGTAAGGATGGCGCAGCTCATCCCCGCCAGCCCCGGGGCCCCCCTGCGTACTTCATCCATCCACTTCATCCAGCACGTTCGCTAAGCACCTAGGCGCTGCGCTCTGCATCCGGGACACAAGGTGAGCGAGACAGACACAGCTCACCACACGGGACAGACCTCTGTCAGGGTGGCCCGACACGGCTCACCACACGGGACAGACCTCTGTCAGGGTGGCCCGACACAGCTCACCACACAGACTTCTGTCAGTGTGGCCAAGTTCATTCATCTATTCAGTCATCCATCAGCAGCCCTTCACGAGTTACGTGGCCTGTGGCAGGCTCGGTGCCAGCCCCCTGCTCTTAGAGGGGGTCACATCCCAATGGGGGAGCTGACAGCTAGAGGACAAGCAGCCAGCCACAAGAGAGGGGCAGGATGCCGCTTTAGGAGGCGATGTGCACACGGAGCCAAAGGTGAGGGAGCGCAGTCCTGAGAGCGGGGAGCTGCCACGGTGGCTGGAAGCAGCGTGAGTGAGGGGGAGAGTGGATGAGGGCTGGGAGTGGGGGCCGATGGGGATCCCTAGAGGGCCGTGCTGTGCGCTCACTGATGTACCAGGACGGCTTCCGGGTGGGCTCAGGGAATGCAGTCAGCAAGGGGCACGAGGAGCTTCTCTCCTGCTCAGACTCTGTGTAGCCCCTCAGCCCACGGCCGCCCCACATCCGTCTAAACGCCCATGGGCTGCCCTACCTGTAGATCGGGGTCGTGTAGTAATTGCCAACTTTCTTCTTTTCTGCGTTGTAACGAACACCTGGGGTGGGGGGAGAGCAGAGGCTGAGGCTGTGCCGGGGTGTTCTCCCTGGTGCAGGGGTGATGGGGAAACACTGCCTGCTAACTTGGGGGTGGGGTGGGGCAGAGTGACCCTGAAATTCCAAGCAGAGAAGAGCTTTTAGACTTGTGAGAGGGGCTCAAAAGAGAGGGTGCCAGACCCAGAAGGTCAGGTTCAAATCCCTGCTCCGCCACCAACGGTCCTGGGCCTCAGCCTCCCCTTCTATTACATGGGGATGATAATGCTACACAGGGCTGTCATGGGCACTACAGGAACGAATACGTACAAACTGCTTAGACTAGGAGACAGGTATCTAGGGGTGATAAAAGCTTAAGCTAGAAAACCAGAGCGTAGACAGTGGGAGGTGTAGTCTGGCTCCACTTTCATTCCTGGTCGTGTCCCCGACAGTGCCAGGCTGAGTCACCGTGTCACCGGTGCACCTGGTGGCCTCTGGGACAAATTCCTCTGCTGGGTCTAACCAGATGGTGTGCTGGGGTTCACTCATCCTCCCTGCAGTGTGTGTGGGTGGTCCACGTATCTTCCTGTGCTTCTGTGGTGGGCAGAAGCTGGCCTAGCCCACACTTCCACACATATCCCCACTGCCCTACATTAAAGAAGAAATGGAGACCCGGGGGGTGGAGCTGCTGGCGTAGGGCCTCACTGTGGCTAAGCTGACCACGGACATGTGCGTCTGTCTGCTCATCTGTGCGCCTGCGAACCAGCCAGGGCCCGGGTGGTGAGAGCCCAGCACCTGTCCTCAGCATTTCATAACATCTGGATTTCCAGATGGTTCTCCCAACTGACAGCCCTGGAGGGGAGGGTCTCTGCACAATGCCTGCAGCTGGAGGAGCTCGATGTCGGGCGGGGCTGGTGCTGAGGGGGTTCAGGCTCACCCATGCCGATGTGGTTCTTACAGCCGTCGCACCAGATATTATACGGCATCTCGAACCTGCAGAAACAGAAGGCACCTTCTCTGCACCTGGCCGCCTGGGTGTCCCTGCTCCCGCACACCGGGGGCCTGGGTTCCAGGCCGAGGCCCGATTTCTGAGAGCTAAGTGCAGAGAAGTGTCTCCAGAGTGGCTGGACCATGTGAAGCCCTTCACAGCCTTGCGACACTGACTGACCCAGTGGACACCCCCCATCCTGCTGCTCTCTGGCTAATAGGCCAGGGGAGTCCCCTTCTGGTGCTGCTCTATCTTTACCCTCGCTGGTTAAGCCCCCTTTAAAGAAAGGAAAGAAGAGGTTGTAGGGGGCTGTACCGGGGGGCGCTGCACCGGGTGCGAGAAACACACAGCAGTTTCTATCACTGTTTCTTGTTAGGTGCAGTCCAGTCAAGTACAGCTCACAGGAACCCCGTGAACCCTGTCCTGTCATGTGTCAGTTCACCTCCGGGGGTGGGGTGGGGTGTCTTCCTCTCTTCTGTCGACTTTCTAAGCATGATGTCCCTCTCCAAGGAACAGCCTCTGCTAGCAACATGCCCGAGTGTGTGAGATTTGTCATCTTTGCCTCCAAGGAGCACTCTGGCTGCACCTTCTCCAAGATACGTGAGATTACTCAGTACTCTTCGCTGGAGAAGAGGTGCAGCGGAGGGGATTCAAATTCACGGCAATCCACGTGTGCAGAGCAGACTCCTCCACCGCGTTTCCCAGGCTGCGGTTTCTGGAGGCAGATTCCCAGCTCTACCTTCCAAGGTGCCACAGGGTGGGTTCCAGCTTAATTGCTTGTGCTGCCCAGGGACACTATGATGTGGCATCCTCAGGTAACACCTCGGAGATGAACTCAAAGGTTGGGGGTTTGAGTCTACCCGAAAGAGTCTCAAATGGAAGGCCTAACAACAACAATGTTCTAAAACAAAATGTGTATGAATAAATGATTGAATTTTTTTTTTTTTTAAAAAAGGCAGGCCTGCTGAGCTATTTCTGCAGAACCAGCCACAGAGAACGCAGGGCGCGAACTGTGCTCCGGCTCACACGGGGCTCGTCCTGAGCTGAAACAGGACTGGGCTGTTCTTATGTGCAGCAGCGATTGACTGGTACAGCGACGTTCTGCGGCACTGGGAAAATCAGGAGGGTGGACTTGCCGAGGATGAAGTGAGGGGCCCAAGGCCAGCCCCTTGAGGGTGAGTGCCACGAGGGCGACACAAAGGCAGGGGTCTTGAGGTGATTCCTGGGCCTTACCTGATGATGAGGATGCCCTGTGACAGCTTCCGAGCCCGCTCCCGCAGCGGGTGGCTGTTGTGGTATCGGTTGAGAGAGCCATGCTGTGGAAAGGACAAGGGGCAGGTCAGTGCCATGGAGCTGGAGGGGCGTGAGGACAAGCCTCACAGGTCAAGAGAAGCCTCGTTCTTACGTGCTGTAGGGGGCTTAACAGCAGCATGGAGACACTGAAGTCTGGCTGGCGTATGTGGGTGTGCATGGACCAGGAGTATCTGAGTCTGAATGTTTCCTTTCCTGATCTCGTGTCCAAAGGGTCACGTGACCAAGCCTTCTCTCTCAGCTTCCTGAGCCTCAGTTTCATCTGTCTGGGAGGACAATGATCCTAATACTGCAGGTCTGTGGTAGGAAGAGAATCTGACAGACTTTTATTGGATATGTCAGGTGAAGGGTCTCAATTGAAATCCCCAGTGATTTTGTGGGGGTCAGTCCATTGTATTTCCCTTTAGACATCTGGAGAAAACTATAGTGCGGAGGGGATGTGTGAGGATGTACCAAGAATCAGACAGACAGATATCCCTGTCCTCTCGGAACAGATGGTCTAGCGGGGAGACGGAAGACACACAACTCCACAAAAACTGCATCAGCTGCTTATGACGGCTGTTAAGATATGTGGAACCACAGCAAGTGGTCAGGGCTGGTCTCTCTGAGGTGACATTTGTAACATCTAAAGGTGAGAGAATAGGCCTGGTGGTGGACTTAGCCTCAGATCAAAGGAACAGCAGAGGAACAGTGGCCTATGGCCGGAGGAGAGTTGGTGGCTGCGACCCCAGGTCCCCTGAGCAGACTCTCACCCAGAGCTCTGCTGTTCGCACACTAGATCCACTGCTGAGTATAGAGGAAGGGTTATCAGTGACAACCAATGCCATTACTCAGGAGTGGAGACAGCTCGAGGCTGGTGGTCTTCTTTTCTATAAATGTTTGTTGTTGTTGACTGTCTTCGAGTCGAGGACTACTCATAGCGACTCTATGAACAAAAGGTCCGAGGCCCCTTTGCAACTATTGACATTTATCAAAGTTCATAAAGTTTCCGGAGGCATGTTGTTTAGGGAGTGGATGCCACTCCTGCTTCCCATTTTTTAGATAAACGTTTACTGCTTTGTAATATGGGCTGATACAGAGTCTTTCTGTATAATGGGACCAAGGCCCTGTGGTTCTGAGCCCACAAGGGGCACCAAATGCGCCTCAAGACTGTCCAGTGAGACTGGTCCTTACCTTTTCAGGATTGAAATCCGGAGGGTAGTACTTATTCACACCTTTTCTTTCACCCTGGAAAGCAGAAGAGAGAGGTGACTCTTTGAGGACCCCCAGTGAATCTACCTGTGTACGAGGCCTGAATGAGAGGGACAGGCCGAGAAAAGCCTTTTGGCGGAAAGCCTGTTGTTGCTATTGTAGGAAAAGCCACGTAATCATGCTTCTCCTTGAACGGGGCTGTCAAATGTTTTGAGCATGACCTTCAGTAAGAAGGATTCCTCCTTGGAGACACGGTGTCATGAACCAGCAGCCTGACTGTGAGATCCCCTCTGTAAACTCTGCTCCCACTCACTGCAGTGATTTAATGACCCATCAGAGCAGAGGTCCTCAAACAAAAGCCTAGAGAGTTTTTAAAACGCAGATATGTGGGACCCCTCCCTTGAGGTTCCCCCAACGGAGGACCAGGTCTGGTGCATGGGGCTTGGCTGCTAGGCTTTGACAAAAGGTCCATGGAAAACTGGCAAAGCAAACACTTATACACACATGTTCACAATATTACTCACAATACTAAGTGTCTGTCAACAGGTGAGTGGATAGACAAGCTATCCGCCTACACAATGCAATGCTACTCGGGCATAAGAAAGAACCATGTGCTGGTCCATGCTGCACTGTGGGTGAGCCCCCGTAATATCATGGTAAGTGAAAGAAATACAAAAAGGCCACATATTATTATGAACCCACTGATGTGGAATACAGACAGAATGCCGACTGGCACCTACCCGGGGCAGGAAAAGGGGGAATGCAAAGTGACAGGTTAAGGGGTTTCCTTTTGAGGGAGAGTCTATTTGGAATTAGAGCATTAGGCATTGTGAATGTCCTAAATGCCACCGACTTGCTCATTTTAAAGTGGTTCATTTATGCTACTTATTTTACTATAAAAACCCCTGTTTAATATTAAAAAAGCTCCTGAGTGATTCTCACGTGGGACCACAGAGGTTGTGACCACTGCACGGGAAAAGCTGGCGTTTAGAGAGTCTGTGAGGGGAATGAAAGGTGTGGCCGTGGAGGAGACAAGACCGGGAGGGAAGTCCAGAGAGCAGACAGTCTACTCACCATCTTGGAAGCTGCTTACTGCTTCTTGCCCTCAACGTGGATGATCTGAAAAGATGACGTAGACTGTGCTGTGTCGATATCTGGCCTCCTGCAGGGCCTGGCAGAGGGTTCCAGGGCCTTTCCTGTGAAGATGCCACTGGCTGTAATGGTGCAGCCCAGCCTCTCCCTGAGGCCTCCAAAGAAAAGCCTTTGTCTGTTCAGAAAGAGCATCAGTTTACTCTACATGCAACTTTGCTCAGATCTGACGCTCCACTTCTTCCATGGCCTCTCTTTCCCTGTCTGGCAGTGCAGCTGCCTCCTTGTCCCGCACTCTTCAGCATCGTCGCCTCTGGGGACCCCTCATACTCCGCCTCCCCTTCTGGCTTCCTCTGTTCTAGCCACCTTGGCTCCCTGGCTGTTTTCAAAGGCCAAGTGCAAACCTGTGTACCTGTTGTGCCCCTGCCTCCAATGCTCTAACACCAGCTGTCTGTTCACAAAGCTTGTTCTCTGTCACAGGTCCTTCAGAGGCCTCACCCGACCATCTGAACTAAAGGCACTTCTTCCTTGGAGTCCTTGTCATGTCGCGCTGTGTCTGGTTATCTGACTACTGTTTGCATCCCCACCAGGAGTTCATGCTGCGCTGTATCTCATGACTAGAACAGTGCCTGCTCCTGAGAAATGCCAAGCAGGTGAATGACAGAGAACAGGGTTGGTGGCGCAGGCAGCAAATGCAGGGGCTGATTAAACTGGTGGTGGCAGAGAGACTTTTAGACTAAGCAAAAGGAAGTTCTACTTTCCACTGTGAGAGAGACCCTGTAAGACCTTGAAGCACTTTCTAGAAAGGAGATCAGTAGACTCCTAATAAAAGGCCAACGAATATTTCTGGCTTTGCGGGCCAGAGGGTCTCTGTTTCAAAGAAGTAAGATAGTAGGTAAACACTGAGTGCGGCCTGCATTCTGATGAACATCTGCGGTCACTTAGGTTGGAATTTTGCATACATTTTACTTGTCATGAAATAGTTTTTTTCTTTTTTAATCATCTGAAACGATAAAACCATCCTTAGCTGGCAGGTTGATCAGGATTTCTACCCCTCGCATGCTACATCTCTGACAGCTTTTGTTATCTTAGTGCAATGATCTCTGACATCATAGCATTTAGTCTGTATTGTTCGTGTTATTTGGAGGACTAGCGGCACTGTGGCTAAGGCTGATAATCGAAAGTTCAGCGGTTTGAGCCTACCGTCTGCTCAGAGGAAGAAGGAGGTCTGCTTCTGTAATGCTGAATGTTCAGCCATTTGGAAACCAGAGGGAGCCGGTTTTATCCTGTCCTACAGTGTAGCTATACATCAGAACTGACTTGATGGCTGGGGGATGAGTTTTGTGGGTCCCTGTTGATGAATAAGGTCATGGGAGCTTGGTCAGGGTCTGAAGCTGCTAGGGAGCAGAGGGGGTTCAGAGCCCCGAGTATTAACTGTTCTGCCATGACCCAGAGCCCCTGTCATGGGTCCTCCATCTGTAAAGTATATCCCCTGGGCCAGGCTTGGCTAAGGTTTTTCCAGCTAAGCTGTGCCTGATCCACGCCATTGCATTTTCAGTTTTTCATATGCATGTGGAAGATGGACTGTGCAGAAGAACTGATGCATTTTAATTGTGGTGCTGGTGAAGAATATTCAAAATATCATGGACTACCAAGAGATCAAACAAATCTGTTTTGGAGGAAGTATAACCAGAATGCTGTTTAGAGTCAAGGATGATGAAACTTCATCCTACATAATTTCAGCATATTTTCAAGAGGTGCCAGCCAGTCTTTGGAAAAGGAAGCCGAGTTAGTGAAAGAGAGGAAGACCCTCAACTAGATGGACCAATACGGTGACTGCACCAACGGGTGTGAGGATCGTGTAGGATAGGACACGATTTCAATCTGTTGTTCACAGGGTTGCTATGAGTGGTAGTCAACTTGACGGCACAGAACAACAACAACAACAGAACTGCTTCTGTCAACAGAAAAGCTAAGCATTCAGGTTTTGCAATCACAGCTCCCTGGCTTTGAATCATGCAGCCACTACTACCTGGCTGAATGAGTGACCTTGGCCAGTGTCTGAGCTGCCCTGGACCCTTCACTCCTCACCTATAAAACTGCTCACCTGTAAAGAGCAGACTGTGACAACAGAATTGACTTTCTGAGGTTGCTGTGAATAATACACGAGAAGTAAGTACACAAAATACCTGGCTTAGAAGAGCTGGATGGATGTTTTCCTACCAAAAGAACACCTAAGTCTGTCAAGGAAGAAATGCAACCATGCTAATTGATCCTATCTAATGCTCATTAGATGCAAGGCTGCGGAAACGTCATCTCACCTACTTTGGGAATATTGTTAGTCTTTGGAGAAAGACATTATGCTTGGACAGGTAGAAGATCAATATAAGAGAGGAAGATAGATCCTCAACAAGATGGACTGAGCTCCATCGAGCATGTCCAACATAAGCTCGTGCAGGGTTTAGATCTGTTGTCCTTGAGTTTGCTGTGAGTTCTATTTGGCTCAACAGCACACAGTAAACTAAAAGTTGGTACTTCAAACTCATCCAGCAGTGCCACGGAAGAAAGGCCTGGTGACACGCTTCTGTAAAGATTAAGGCTGGATGATGAGTTGATTTCAACTCATAGCGGCCCTACAGGACAGAGCAGGGCTGCTCCCGTGTTTCCAAGGCTGCCCATCTTGCTTCTGCTGAGTGGCTGGAACCACCGATCATCTGATTAGCGGGCAAATATTTAACCACAGGCAAGATAACCCCAACACACAAGGTCACCAACAGAATGAACTCAATAGCAAAGGCTTTGGTTTTGGGCTTCCTGGTCTCATCTGCCGAGGGATCACTGCATGCGCTGGTATCCGACTCGGTCGCTTCCTTAGCTGCGTGACTGTGCGCAAGGCGCTTAAGCTCTCTGAGCCTCAGTTTCCTCATCTGTCAAATGGGGTTGGTGAAAAGCATAGAGCAGAAAGGAGTGCTGTGAAGACGGAGTCAAACAGCATTTCGTGCGTATCTTACAGATGCTTTCCCATGAACAGACGAGGGAGGGGTTTTATTAGTTCCATTATCCAGACAAGGAAACTGAGGGGGGCTGTCAGGCATAAAGTTGGGCGGGGGTCATGGTCGCACGCGAGACCCTGGAGATTAAGGTTGCGGGGACGCGGCCGAGACTCAGGGGCAGCTCTACGCGCTGGGCCTGCCTGAGCTGAGGACCCCGGTCTCCCAGCGAGTGCATTCGCGTCCAACTGCTCGGAGGTCGTGAGGAGGAGGTGATGAGACCCCCGACTCCCGCCCGCCCCCCAGCCCACACTTACCTACCCTCCTCCTGACGTCACGGCCCCCGCTCCCGCGCCCGGAAGTGCGCTCCAGGCGCAAGGGGGCGTGGCTGCCCGGGGACGCCGGCGTGAGGCGGGGCGAGGCATGAGAACCGCGTTGATTGGCTGAATGCGTGAAACGCCGCGCGCACTGCGGACGCTGTCTACAATGATGGTCCCGCCCCTGTCTCCGCCCACTCTGCCAGGCCCACTTTGCTAGGCCCAATCCGATGTCAGCCTCGGTGTCGTCATCCGCCCAGGGGCTGGATTCGGGTACCCTAAAGCTGATTTCCCTGGTAGACGTTCCTCTGATACTACATGCTTTCAGCCAAGATCTATCTAACGTTAGCTATAATATCCCTAGTACCACGACCTCTTCTAAACCCAGCCTGCATATCTGGTACTTCTCTGTGCTATGCATCAGAAAGGTCGACAAAGACCAGGAATGATAGAAGGAGAATCAATGCCTTTGAGTTGTAGTGCTAGAAAAGTATTGACTATACCATGGACTGACTGCTAAGAGAACAAGCAGATCCGTCCTAGGGAGGGTGAAACCAGGCTGCTCCTTGGAGGCAAGGATTCTGAAGCTGTATCTTGCATACTTTGGGCATGTTGCAAGGAGGGATCAGTCCTTGGAGAGGGTCATTATGCTTGGGAGGGTGGAGGGACAGCACACGAGAGAAAGACCCTAGGTGAAATGGATTGACCCAGTGACTGGGGTAATGGAGTGGGTGTGTCAGAGACAATAAGGTTGGCTCAGGATAAAGCAGGGTTCAGAGCTGTTGTATAGCGTTTCTATGAGTCGCTGGAGACTTGACCTTACATAACAACACAATTAACAAAGCTGATTCAGGTTGTGATCTTTCCAATGGCTTGCTATGCATCTGAGGGCTGGACAATGAAAAAGGATGACAGAAGAATAGATGCCTTTGAGCTGTGGTGTTGGAGGAGAGTACTGAATATCCCATGGACTGTCAAAAGAACAAACAGTTAAGTCTTGGAGAAAGTGCAGCCAGAGTGCTTCTTGGATGCAAAGATGGTAAAGCTTGTCTCACATACTTCAGGTATGTTGCTCCAGAGGCCTTGGAGACAGACATCATGCTTGAAGGGTGGGCGTGGGTTAGGGTTAGACACCAGAAGAGAAGACTCTCAAACAGGTGACTGACGTGGTGACTGCTGCAATAGGATCAAGTGGGCCAGAGATTGTGAGGTTGTCACAGGATAGGACAGGGTTCAGATCTGTTGTTCATAAGGTCACCATGAGTCGTACTTGATGGCCTAACACTACCACCACTACTACCACCAGTTGTTGTTGTTGATTGCCATCAAGTCAAGGTCAACTCATAGTGACTCTATGAACAAAAGACCTAATGCCTTTGCACAGTTATCGTTGTTTCTCCAAGTTCATAGTTTCCAAAGGCATATGGTCTAGGAAGTGATGCCACTCCTGCTTCCCAACCTGTTTTACAACTGGGAGTTCCACCAAATACTGTCCACAATGGGAAACCATTATGGTATTTGATATCCCCATGGCACAAGGTTCAGCATCACAGCAAACCCAGGTTATCTCATATAGCACATTGACAAAGAGTGGTGTGCAAAGTGGAAGAATGTTCCTCCAGATATAACAGCACTAGTCTCATTTAGCAGTGTTTAAGTGTTGTCGAGTCAAATATGACTCAGAGTAAGTTTTGCAAAAAAGACCTGAAATCTCTTTTATAACATCATTTCTGTACATTTATAAGTGAGTCTGTAGAGTTTCCAGAAGCATCTAGTTTAGGAAGTGGATGCCACTTCTGCTTCCCAACATGAATCAATCTGGAAGTTCATCCAACCACTCTACATAATGGGTAACAATTATGGTATTTGATACGACTATGGAATAGTGTTCAGCATCCCAGCAACTCAAAGTTGCTCAGTGCAGCAAATAGACAAATGATTGCTGTGTCTTTAAGAGAATATTCTTCTAAAATTAATAAATTTGGCCCTTGGGCCCTACACGGTTTTAAAGTCACACTCTCAAGCGGTCTCCACCTTTACCCTTAGTCTAAGGCTGAAGGCCACCCACTTTTGAGGGAGAAAAAGAACAGTAACACACAACAAAATGGACCCCAGAAACTTCCCTTGCCTGACTGCCACCAAGATGAGGCTGCCATCGAGACATCAGCCAGCCAGCCAACTGCCAGAGTGGAGGGAGACTCCAAGGTCCAGGCGTCAGGCCAGACCACAGACCTATACTTGCTGAAAACAAAGAGAACTTGAAAAAAAAACCCCAAAAAAACCCCCAAAGAGGACTTGACATGCTTGCTGTATAAGACCAAAGACGATAACCTTCAAATATGGATTACATCTCTACATCAAGAAGACAAAAATCTTCACCACTGAAGCAATAGGCAACATCATGATAGATGGAGAAAAGATTCATATTGTCAATGATTTCATCTTTCTTGGATCCACAACACTCTTGACACCAGCAGTCAAGACATCAAAAGAAAAAAACAACAACAAACCAAATAAAACCCACCAAAAAAAAAAAAGGAGAACTCAAAAGCCATATTGCATTAGGTAAATCTGCTGCCAAGGACAAAGATATTAAGGAGCAATCATGCCAGTTTAAAGACAAAGGTTCATCTAATTAAAGCCATGGTCTTTTCAATTACTTGCTATTATGCATTTAAAAGTTGAATGACTAAGGACGACAAGAGAAAAATGGATACTTTTGAGTTGTGGTATTGGAGAAGAGTACTGGATATCCCAAGGACAAGCAAAAGAACAAATAAATATGTCTTAGAGAAAGTGCAATCAGAGGCAAGTGTGGTGAAACTTCATCTCACATATTTTGGGCATGTTGTCATGAAGGGCCAGTCATTGAAAAGAAGAAATCATGCTTGGAAAGGTGTAGGGTCAGCGAAGGAGAGGAAGACCTCAATGAGTTGATACAGTGACTGTAACAATGGGTTCAATTATATGAGAGATGACGAGAACAGTACAGGGTGGGGCGAGGTTCAGATCCTCTGTTCATGGGGTCACCCTGAGTTATAGTCAGCTTCATTGCACCTAACAACAGTAACAACAACACAATTACTTGTTGCAATCAGATCAGTTTTCAGTCATGGTGACCCTGTGTTCAACATAATAAAACATTGTGTGATGTTAACTTTAGGATCCAGGGTCAACGATATTAAAGAAGACCCTTAACGAGATGAACTGATGCAGTGACGGTATCAGTGGACTTAAGAAGAGCGGAGCGGTAATACCATCTCAGACAACAGTCTTATAACACAAGTTTACAGAATACTCCTGGGCCTCCTCAAGAACGAGACTGATAGCCCAATTACAAAATGGGCAAAAGACATGGAAAGAATTTTCACAGAAGACATTTGAACAGCAAACAGACACATGAAGAAATCCTCCAAATCACTGGCAGTAAGAGAGATGCAAATCAAAACCACAATGAGGTACCACCTCACTCCAGTAAGAGTGGCAAAGTTTAACAGGGCAGCAAGTAACAGATGTTGGAGAGAATGTGGCGAGAAAGGAACTCTTATACATTGTTGGTGGGACTGTAAAATGGTGCAACGGTTCTGGAAGGCAGTTTGGTGCTTCCTCAAAAAGCTGAACATAGAAATTTCATATGACTCAACTATTCCTCTTTTTAGTCGTTGTTAGATGCTGTTGAGTCAATTCTGATTCATGGTGACCATCTACATAAGAGAATGAAATATTATTCAGTCTTGCACCAGCCTCACGATTGTTGCTATGTTTAAGCCTGTTATTGAAGCCATGGTTTCAATCTATCTTACTCATTCTTCCTGTTTTTAATTGACCCTCCACCAAGCATGATGTCTTTCTCTAGGCAGCTGTCCCTCCTAATAACAAGGCCAAAGTCAGTGAAGTAAAGTCTCACATGGATTGCCAAAAGAACAAATAGATCTATCTTGGGAGAAGCACAGCCAGAATTCTGTAATATATTTAAGAGACTGCAGCCACGAGGCCACCAGAGCTCCCAGTCCATGGTATATTACATATCTTTTACCAACATCATAATTCAACTGTATCAGTTCTTTGGTCTTCTTTAGTCAATGCCCGGCATTCACATGTATATGAGGTAATTGAAAAATACCTGATTTGGATCAGGTACACCTTAGTCCTCAAAGTGTTAGCTATATATAGCCAACCAGCTGGAAGAGATTCACATATATGTCCATTCCAAAGATGATCCGACATCCTATTATCTTCATTGCTATGGAGCCAGACAGAACTGACGCATAGCTGACTCTTCAGCACCAGCAACCAAAATTCTCTTCCTATGAGTTCAGACTTGCTCCCAAAGATACACTCTAAACCTCTAAACCTCTTCTACCAACTCTGACACGAATGGCCACAGCTTTCACTACTTCTCTCCTGGGTTTGACAATTCATTGTAATAGTTACACAAAACTCACAGACATTATTCACATTGCAATGGGAAAGTCTGCTGTTAGGGACCTCTCCAAAGTGCTGAGGAGCAATGGTGTCTCTTTGGAGACTAAGGTGCGTCTGATACAGGTCATGGTCTTCGCAATCACCTGTTATGCATCAGAGAGTTGGACAATGACCAAGGAGGATAGAAGGAGAATTGATGCCTTTGAGCTGTGGTGCTGGAGAAGAGTATTGAGAATACCATGGACTGCTAGGAAAACAAACAGATTTGTCCTGGAGAGGGTTAAACTGGGTGGCTCCTTGGAGGCAAGGATTCTGAGGCTCCGTCTAACATACTTTGGACATGTTGTGAGGAGAGACCGGTCCTTGGAGAAGGACATCATGCTTGGGAGGGTGGAGGGACAGCGCAGGAGAAGAAGGCCCTCTATGAGGTGGATTGATTCAGTGACTGGGATAATCGGGATGGGAGTGTCAGAGTCAGTGTGATTGGCACAGGACAGAGCGGAGTTTAGGGCTGTTGTACCTATGTACAACATAGCAAGCGACTCGATGGCACATAACAACAAAACAACAACATGGGGACTTCTAGGCCACTCTGGTGGCCTAGTAGTAAGAAGCTGCACGGCAATTTTGAAGGCATGTAGTTGGAGGCCATTAGTGGCTCTAAAGAAGAAGGATGGGCAATC